GCTGTGTACAAAGACTGTACATTTAGCATTTCTTTAAATTCTTCCAAGTGGTAAGTGTTCGTCATATCAGCTTCCACATCAGCAAAAGAGAATCCAAACAAGGCTTTACTAATTAGAGACACAACTTTGAATCGTAAAAACCAAACCTTCATTAAAAATCAATTCCCCAGAACGAACCCGTGAGCGTGAATCAATTTTCCCCAAATCCATATCTCCAAATCGAACCTTTAATCGTGAAGCCAGTTTTCCCCAAATCAATTCTCCCTTAAATCGAAGGTAAATTTCATCTCTTCTAGTGACCAATTTGAGCTTGAGCGAGTAACTGAAATGGTGCCGCAGGTGGAATGTAGAGACGGAAAATTTGGGGAAATTTTTTTCCTTCTTTTCTGTTATTTTCACTTTTTTCATTCTTCTTCCATTTCTATTCATTTATTGTTTACTTACTTAAATTGAGATAGAGTATGAATTTTTTCTGCCAAACAATGTCTTTTCTTTTTTCTCTGTTAAATGCAGATAAATATGAATTTAGGAAATTTGGTACACTTCAGTATCTACTTTCATAAAGCCTGTGCATCTCTTGATTTTGTTACAGTATTGACTCCAACTGATTTGTAATGTTCTAAGACTTGAACCATATGTCCTGCAACTATGTTATGCATTATTCTTTAAGGGTTGGATTCTTTTGTTGTACCGTTTGTTGAGGTATGCAAGTAGTTAAAATTTTCGTAGGAAGTTTATATAATGTTTCATTATTCTGAGTATTCCTGGCAACAATAGCATATTTCAATGGCAGGGAAGAGCAAGGGCATTTATCATAATTAAAGATATGTCCTATCTGTTGAAGACTGCTGCTAAAATAATCGAAGAATAGGACGGCGAGAGATCTCTCCTCAATATTACTATCCGCAAGGAAAAATGAGAGGAGGAAAAGAAAGGGAAGCAAAAGAAAGGAGCTCCATAAAATATTTTTGGCTCTATTATTTCTTAAGACAATGTTGACAGTAATTGTTCATAGTGTAAGAAGTTCATTGTAATCGTGATGTGTTATTTGATCATGACCCTATATGTATTTATTAACAATTTCGAACAATGTAGACTTGCACTTGTTTTTGTGAAGTTCGCTTAGATCAAACTCAGTTTTGAGCTGTGCATGGGTGTTATAATTGCAAGTGTTGATCAAAAAGCTTATTTTAATAATAATGTCGTCAAAGACTCGTGCATGCAAGTTATTGGAGATGGTGTCTCCTGGAATACAGTTATTGGAGAATGTCAGGTTTGATACAGGGGTTAAAATGGTTTAGGGAGATGATAATGTATGTTATTGAGCCTGTTCGTGTTTCATGGTCGACATTCACCAAATGCTTTGACCAAGGTTGTTAGGTTTTTGTTTGGATTTGGCTAGGCTAGTGCAAGTATCATATGCTTCCTTGTAAGATTGGATAAAAACGATCACCAGAAACAAAACAAAAAGAATCCATCCACATACACCCAGTTTGCATCCACTCACATTCAAACAACAGCAACATTGCCCAAAAACAAAAACACCACCTAACTGCTGTGCATCTTTCACCAAATGTTGCTCATAATTTCTAGCAACAATACTCAAAAACAAAAAACACCAAACTTCTATCACGTTATTTATCGGGGCTGTGTGTCTTTCAATTTGGCAGATTTTGCCCGTCGTCGTGCTCATGCCCTTGCGGATCCCAATTTGGCAGACTCCGCCTCTTTCGTGTCCTGCAATTCGTCAACGATTTGGTTGAAGTTCATATTAAGCATTTGGGGGAAATAGATTTCACACTTAAGGGTTCGATTTGGGGGAGAATTGATTTGGGGGAAATGGATCTCACGATTAAGGGTTTGATTTGGAGATATGGAATTGGGAGAATGGATTCACGCTCACAGGTTCTGGGGAAATTGAATTTTAATGCTTAAGGTTTGATTTTTTACAATTCATAGTTGTGTTTCTCTATTCTAAAAGCCTTGTTTGGATGCTCTGCTGCTGATGTGGAAGCAGATTTGGTGAACACTTATCACTTGGAAGGATTTAACTTGCCGCATCATTTTTCCGTCAACCACGTCAACACGTCTATTAACGGTTCTCATAGGGCGAGCGATGAAGTTGGACGGAGTGAAGTTCAATGGTCAATGAGAGTAGTCGATGAAACATTTAACTCTACAGATTGTTCTTGAGCCATACTTTCTCTCTCCTCAACGGCCAGAGGCGGCGTAACAGACTTGTTTTGAACAGTCACCTGAATACGCTTCCTCTCTTTCCCCAACGCCACCCACCGTCCGCCGCAATTCCCACCGGTCTCCGCCGTCCACTGTTGGCGCTACAGAATCACTACCACCGCCGCTGGTTATAGAACTCCACGCAGAAGAATTATAGTCCGAGGAAAACAGCCCACCG